TAAAAAGGATTTTGGGCCCCGCCAACAACTGTGCAACTTCCTCAGATAATCTGGTGGAACAGAAAAGGGAGGAGCCCACCCGTGATTAAATAAGGCATTTCCGGAAGCAGAACCCCACCTCTGTGTGACGTCCAACTGCAGCTGCCTCAAGGCCATACAATATACTACTTCCAATATACTACTAATACTAGTTCAACTCTGAGATGAGGAGAATGAGCCAGTTCTTYAAGTGTGAAAGGACTACGCCTCCTCACCCCCCTAAAGTAAGAGGTGGAGGCAGCCAGAGACAACACATACTCTGCAGTCAAATTAGGCATAGGCGGAGAAAAGAAACCAGCCCCCTCCATTGAAGTATCCAAGTGACATGCATGGAGAAGAGATTTTATCTCGATCACTTCTGAAGACAACTGCTCAACTCTTGTGGAAAGACCCTGATTAGACTTTGGTTGCCTCTTCTTAGGAGGTATCCTCAGTCTGGTGCTTCAAGSGCCTAGGCGGGGCCACTTGACCTGAAGACGGAAAATCACTGACACAAAAAGTTTGACACAAAAAGCTACATCCAGTTACTGGATGGAAAAACATCGGGCTGATAATGGGAGAGGGGGCACGAATGCAGCCATCACCAAACACAGSGGGTGGCTGTGGCAGAGTGGTTAGGGGGTTTGTCCTGGAACCAGAAGGTCACCGGTTCGATCCCCTGTCCAGCTGTCTCAGTTGTTGTGTCCTTGGGCAAGATACCTAACCCCAAGGCCTCTGATGTGTGTCCCATCAGTGTATGAATGTGACTGGCACTTATTAGTCTCCATAGCTCATTGTACATGTTAGCTTTGTAGGAGATCTGATAGACTGCTGTGTGAATGGGTAAATGAGGACACAGATTGTAGCGTGAAGCGCTTTGAGTATCCTGGTTGGGTAGAAAGGCGCTATACAAGTACAGTCCATTTACCATTTACAATACACAGCAAAGATCTTTTAAAAAATAAAATAAAAGTTGGATGGACATGAGAGAGGGTGAAAAAACACCTCCTTAACCAGTTACAGCACTGTAGAGAGTAGTCACTCTGGGAGAGAAGGCAAATACGCTATCATCTCCATCAAACCTCAAACAAAGTGAGGTTAACACTGTTACTTCAATCTAAAAAAAACTCTGAACATGAAGTTAGCTGAAACTGCAGGGTGTGGTAAAACTCCACCTTCACATACAGCAATGGAGAAAGAAGTTGCAAGCCAAGAGCAGTGGACAAAATTATCTATTCACCAGCAAACAGCAACATACCTTTATGAAGATTGCTCTTTGCTTCCCAGGAGAACGATACCTCGCTACTTCAGCCAGCAGGCAATCGAGCATCTGGCCTTTCTTTGCAAGGCTGATGCCATGTACCTTGAGAAAACCCAKGCATGCACGGAGAGAACATGCAAACTATCCAGAAAGCTCTCTGGCCAGGATTTGATTTGGTGACTTTCTTGTGAGGCAACAGTTACCAACTGAGCCACCGTGACACCCTTTGGACTGCATTTAGCAAATGTGAACTTGCGTTACTTGAAAATACAAATTCAAGCTGACAGTTGCATTTAATTTATTAGGCTTGTTTTATTAACGTATATGGGATTGATTATGAAATGAATTCAAAAGTTTTTTATGGTTTAAAACCGTTAGGTATGAACAGATGAAAACTACAGAAATAGACAAACTGGATCAAAGTCATCTGTGACTGTGGAGGCTTGTTCCCAGGTGCTTGTTACGCTACTTCTTTGCAGTCGAGCTACGAGGCACTAAAGGGGAGCTGTAAATCATTAGTGACAATGTGGTTGGGTTGAAGAGACTGTCTATCAAAGCAGACAGAGTAGTTAGGATGTTGGCATGTACTGTAGCTGCCTGTTTGGCGACGAGCAGGGAAAAGTGGGCGCATTTATCTCTATTGTAAATGTAGCCTTAAATAGATTAGGCATAACTGAAGCAGTTGGTATTGACTTTCACAAATACAAAAGTATATATTATATATTATATTCAGAATTTAATCATTTTGATTGTAGGTCTTTTGCAGGGTCGTTTTGAGGTCTGCATGTCTGGAGCTATTAACTTTTTCTACACAAGGGTTATGTGGCTAGGTCATCACCACATTGAGGTGTTGAACTTAGGTCTCCAAGACAAAAGGTCTCACTGTCACTGAGACTGTGAAAATGTCAAGAAGTCTTCTTAGACTGTTAAAGAGACCATACTGTGCTTTTTTGTGTTTTTCCCCTCATTCGGGTTGAGTGACAAAGCTTCCTGTGCTCTGGTGAAACTTCTTCAGTGTGACAGAGTCCACATCAAAGGGAGTTTGTTTTTCTACACTGGACAAAAAAGAAAAAAAAAACTTCTTAACTGTCCAAAATACCTCTTTTTTGTAGTGGGCTTACTTCACAAACTTGGAAATGTCACCCTTCAAACGCAGGATTGAGAATCTGCCACACTTTATGCCTTTTTTTAATCAAGCAGCTGCCAAATAGGAGCATACTGGACATTTTATTATAAGGCCTTGAAGAGACTGCAACTAAAAAGATATCTTTTAGATGGAAAATGACAACCGCAGCACTGCAAATCACAGAAAATGTTATTTGCCTTCACATTTTCTGGTCTCAGAAACGCACAAATTAAAGGCCTAACGTTCCTTGAACTGCCACTTTTCATGCCAGCGTTTTATGCCAAACTTTAAACCTTGGCTGTTTTGGTCAAACATTTCATTTGAAATCTTGCAAGACATGTTATCTTTTTGACACCGACTCAGACACAACCACACAAAATGCTAACTCAATATCTGTAAAACTGACTGAGATGTGTTTGCTAAGTTTGATTAGATTCGGCAACCATTTTGGGGATGATTTTAAATGTTTACGAGTTGTAGATGTATATTCATTCATCACTTTCTAGAAGTTTCATTAAACTTCAAACAGTGATTCACGAGATATTTAACTAAAGCTGTATCAAACACACACGCACAATGAAATAAATTGGCAAAAACTGTGTTGCCTTTTTCCTGATGATAAGTTAAGTAAAAATTATGAGACTAAACAGGTGTGCAGTGTTCACAAGTGTCTATATTATTCTATATAACAAAAACAATTACATTATTTTTTGTTAGCAAACTCCTTAATTTTAGGATGTTAGTAAGCGTCAGTCTGTAAGACACACACACACACACACACACACACACACAC